CTCTGGTGGTCGTTTTAAGAAGTTTCATCACAAAACACCAACAAACTAAAAGCACTTGCTTGTGTCAGTGATAAATTATAAACTGTATTTGAGACCAAGATCGGCATTGTTAAAGTGAAACATTAGCAGAAGAACTACGTTAAACAAAACATCTTGATAAAACTGGATTTTTCAGGTGAACTGGCTAGAGTTACTGTAGTTTCATAAAAATGACCACTCAGGGAGTAGAACCAAAAGTATTTACTCAAAGAAAAATTAGATTTCTCAAAATGCATGAGAATCTTTACAACATTAATAAGCATATATATATCTATATGATCTAGCCTATTGTCCTACATTAACTATAATACAGTAAAAGTACCTATTCACCATCAGATAGAGAGGCCTTCTGTCTTCTCACCACAAATAGAATACAGCTGTGTTCTCCCTGCCCATCAAACAAGCGTGTCACATGCTGGAAAGGCAGAATTCTTATTCTTCTCATATTTTGAACAAATAGCTACTTGAACCTTGTACCAGAAAATTTGTTCTAATACACCTGCCCAACATGCAGCACATTTTCATTTGTGTGTGAAGCAAGAAGCATGCATTTCCTGTGATTCATTAGTCTCATAAATTTAAATTTTTGCACAGCGATATCAGAAGGTACCTAGAATAACCACAGTATCTGAACTGCTATAGTATAATAGAAGTATACTATTATAATCATATAATAACCTTCTGCATCACTTTAACTGAAGTCCTTCTCCTCATAACTGTAAACGCCCCTTTACAACAGTAGCCACACAACTAATACATTAAAGCATTGTCTGAGAGTGGACTCATGAGGTAGTAAACCCTTAGAGAATGGCATGTACTATTTTTCAAGTTGCGCAATGCCTGCTCACTTACATAGGAAAGTAAAAATCAGAAGACAAAAAACAATGGTTTTTTTTGGCATAACGGCAATATAGAAAAGAATTTATCTTCTAGAGTTTAGGAGATCATGCTTGAGACTCTTCGACAGGATTCACGTCCTCATCATACATCAGGTAAGTTCCTAATATAGTGATGAGCAATAAGTCAAGACTACAAATCTCTCATAATTCTAAACGTATTCAGTTATCAAAATTGCCACCTTAGTTGCAATTTTAATGTCACACACAGCTGTGCAGGCTCCCTAGAATTAAGTTTCCTAGCAGTAATTCCCAGTCACCCAGCTAGTTTATCTCAGAAAAGCTTGAGATCTAGCAAGAGGAGAAAGTAACTTTAACCAGAAAGTCTTTAGGGACCACCTGTCCAGATGTTACAGAGATATCAGCAGGAACTGTTATACAAGTACCTCTTCTTTGTCAGAGAGGGTGGAAGGAAACATAATCTTGGAAGATTCAAACCACATTGTTAATGATGATAACCACACAGACAATTATATGTAAAGTCAGACCAAAAAAACCCCTCCAGTTAAGGGTACCATAACATTTAAATCTTACAAAGTCTGAGACATTGATACGATTCCTGTCATGCTGTTGTTGCTATACCTAATAGCATGTATATGAACACACGCTTACAGAGAACTTGACTGTGTATTTGGGCTGGGCATTGAGTTTATGGATGGTCTTTCCAATTTATTTATTTATGGAGTTCCATTCTGGGTATATTTTAAAAAATAGTCCCTGTTTTAACGGTCACATATTTATTAATAAAATAATACTGGTCACGAGACTTACACACTGAGACTGCTGATATACAGAAGAGAATAAACAGCACACAGAAGTTATGAACATAGCAGTTTTCCCCTCACATAAGAAAAGGCAGACCACCATCACTCCAGAGTTCAGACCTGAACACCTCCACAGCATTACGTTTACAAATTACCTCCCAACACTTTGTGGAAAGCCCGGAGATCACAAAACACCCACATGTTAACATACGTTTCTTAAAGCAAGGAGGCGACATTTAAAAACTCGCTATGTTACCCACTTCCCTCCCGGGGAGCCCCCCAGGAGCGGGACCCGGCAGCAAGTACAGCTCTGCCCACAGATCGCCAGCGGCCTAAACAGATCCCGGAGCGGCACCGAGCAGCGAAGCGATACGGCCCCCAGACACACCCCCGCTGCCTCGACCGCAACCCCCCGGCCCACCGCGGGCTCGGCCTCGGCCTCAGCCTCCCCCAGCCCGGCCGCGCCGCGCCACACCCGCCCGAGGCCGGCTCTCCCCTCACCACCTGCCGCCAACCGCAGACACAACCTCCGCCATCAGCAGCCCTCGCCACCACCAATTCAAAAAGCGAGCCGCCGCCCTAAGTGCGCCACGGATTGGCTGCCAGCCCCACCACCCCTCTGTAAGCCGCCGCCTCATTCGAGCATCTCTCCGAAATGTCCCGCCCCCTTCCCTTCGCTTTTTGGACAGCCCTTTGCCTCCTTCTTTCTCTGATTGGCTGCCGCGCCCGCCGCTCGTGACTGGGCGGCCTCCCATTGGCGGCGGGAAGTTTCCTGGGCAGACGAGCAGCCCCGTGTTGCGGTACCCGAGCACAGGTTGCTGAGTGGGTGGGGCGGGGGGGTGGGCGCTTTGCGCTGATTGGCTGCTGCAGGGTTTCGAACGCTTCCAACGGCCGCGGCGGAGAGACCCGGATAGAGTGGGGGAGGGGCTCGGGCCCCCTCAGCGCGCCTGGCGCCAATAACCTCAGCGCGTCACCCTGTTACACGCATCTCTATTAAAATACTCGGAATTATACATATTCATTCTATTCCCTGGGTCAAATTATCCTATTACACAGTCACTACGCGTGCGGCCTGGGTCTCTGAGGGGTTTCCCTGGGGGTCTTGTGTGGTACCTGATGGTCCCTGCTCTTACTGCCCTGCCCAGGAGCTCTGTGCCTTTTTTCCACCTGTGGTTTTTGTCTTGCCTCATCGCTCTGTAGAGTTTCTCACGCTCTTTATCTCAGTTTCAACAGGTGTCTGCTGGTTTATCTGCCCTCCCCAAAACGTGCCCATCACACTTGAAAAAATTACGTCCTTGGGTGCATTCTTGTCTGAGGACCCTTACAACGCTATTAATTCAGTAAACTCTGTCTTGCCGAGGGTATGGGTGTGCATACATTATGCTGCGTTTCAGAATAATTAGTTTATAGGAAACGAGAGAAGAGAGCTGACAGGAGAAAATACAACTGGTCGAGATGAAAGTGAACCAGCTGACTCAATGGCACCAACCCCAAAACAAATTAGTCTTACCAAATTCTTTCTCATCCTTTTCTTTTTCATTCTCTCCAGTACTAAAACTTACTGATCTAGAAAGGAATTTTTTCATAGGGGCTCAGCATCTCTGAAACCTGATTTAGCATAATGTCCCACTGGCCCGATGTAAAAAGAATGAGAAAGATAGAGATATTTTCTATTTCTAGAATTTTCTATTGTATGCTAAATTCTTATATGCCAAATTGAGTTCTTAGATCTTACTAATTTTTTTATGCTACAGATATTTATTAGTTCAGGCATTTTCATGACTGATCCAGCAAACGTTAGTGCCAGTCTGTTGACTTTTTAAGATTTAGAAGAAAAACAGAATAGGAAAAAGCAGGAGAAGACGATAGCAGGTGTTGTTTATGTAAATAATGATTTGCTCATGAGGCACAAGTAAATTAGGACTATTTTCTTGAGGACAAGTTTTCAGAATAACAGCTTGGAAACCAAGGAGATCATTTAAATTTCGACACTTGAGTCAGCCAATTATTACACAGTCCTATAATTACCTTATTTCATACAGAGTAATTGCAACAATGACTTAAAGTCAAAACACAGCCTAACCTGTGGTCCTTTTGTCAACTTGAAGTACCAGTCTGGGCCATCATTTTGCAGTTCCATTTTGCAGGCCAAGCCAACCTTCACTGGCTTTTCCCCTGTTCTCTCCTTTCTTTGCACTCTTACAAAGTCCTTTCAGCCAGGTTGTCCATTTTTCTTACATCCTGAACGAACAAACATCTTTCTCCTAGGTTTGGAACAAGTTCTGCAGTATTGGAGTCAATGTTGTTCCTGCAGTTCAATTTTGGAAAAGATATTGGTGATTGTACATTAATTTCCACTTAAACACTAGATCCTTAAAAAAGCTCTATAAAATGTTGTGCCTGCAAAGACAGGAGAAGCATATATATCAGGGCTGAGGATTAACAGGTGATACATGCATCACTTCTCAATTAAAGGTTTAAAAAGAATGTAAGTGGTACCTAAATGTTTGGTGCATAAATGTAGGCTCACTATACATATGGAGAGTGTCTTGGGCATTAGCTGTTTTTTGAACATACTTGAAAATCCAGAACTGCAATCTCAAAAAGCAAGCAGGGTATTCTGATGAACCCTCTTAAGCTGTCCTTCCTGAAACTGACAGAACTTAGACAAATTTTAGGTAACATCACTTAAGAAAAGTGTCTAAGATTTTGTTTAATCAAGTGCATTTATTCTCACCAAAGTTTAGATCAGAACTGATGACAAAAATAATTACTATTCTTTATATGTCTGACATTTTAAAATCTAAGTGCTTTTCTTATAAAAGGTCCTGAAATAGAAACACCTATTATTTTTTGTTGTGTAAGAGGTAACATGTAGTTGAGACTTGCTGTTCTTTCCAGTTATCTAGACATCAGTAACCCAGGAGTATAACATTTATTTAACAGTCAAATAGTTTCCTCTCTCAGTAACAACAACAGGGAGAAAGTTCCAGGAGATTAACTCATTAAATGAATCCTGTTGCATCAGGTTCACGGGAGCAGGGATCTCATCCCTTGCGGAAAAAAGACAGTGGGGCCACATCAGAAGAGCTGGTGGAACCCTGAGAGGCCTGAAGGAGACCTTGGTGCCTCGAGTTGTCTCTGGAAGTTGGCTGTCTGGAAACCGCTTCTTGGATTCAGGGGATGAGTTTACATAGGCAGATTGCTTGTCCCCTTATATATCTTGTAAGCATTTGGGGCTTTATTTTTTTTTTTTTTAAAAAAAAAAAAAAAAAAGAAAACTCTCTCAGCCTCCTGTGTTTTATTTTTTTTCAGCCAAATGACTTCTTTATAAGGGCCTGGAAAAAATACACATTCTTCAAAGAGCTATTGCTTCAGTTTCAAAATGTGAGGAAGGGGGGAGATCAAGCACAAGATGTATGTGGGGGTCAGTGGGAGCATAAGAAACCTCAAAAAAAATCCATCCAGCCTTTTTATTTCTCTTTCGAAGAGATGAGAGCAGAGTGGGACTAGACCCAGTTTTGCCACAGGTTTGGGAATAATGATTTTTGTTGAAAGAGATGGGTACAGGTTATTACTCTCAAGGATCCTAGGTGTGGACTTCAGGAGTGGATGCTTGGGAAAGCAAGGGAATGGGAGTATGCAAGGCAAAGGAGGCAGGGGAGCAGGGCAAGAGGTAAAACGTGTGAGAACAGAGTAATACATAAAGGGACTGCTCGGTATAAAGAGCTTGAGACCTTGGGAGTCTCACCTTGTGCTGCTTTCTTGACAAAGCTTGTTTCTTAACAGCCCTTCCACATTCATAGTCTACTCAAAACTGGCTGTGAAAATTACAGAAACTCTATCTGCTGTTATGAAAAAAAGGTTAAAGATGCTTGAGAGTCTTATTGCCTCACAAATTCCAGAAACTTTCTTCTGCAACCTTTAGAATCAGCAAGGTTTTACTTCAATTCCAGTAAAGCTGGCTTAAAAGCTGACCTTTTACTTCTTAGAAACGTATTTTTCTTTTATTACCTTATCATGTCAATTTTGAAAGGAAACTTGTCCTTTCCAGGACTCTTATTTATATTTCTATGTGACTTTTTAGTATAATGAATTCATTTTTTAAAAGCAATGTTGTTGTTAAAATTAGCACTCGTTCTTTCTTCTGATTAAGATTCATAATGCATGTGAATCTGGCTATTTAAATAAATATTTTAATTTGCTGAAGATAGGGCTGTGAGTAAGTATTAAGTAGTCATTTGGGTCAAGGCTGAACTCTATAGCGTTTCTATTTCCTGCACGTTGGGGATGAAAAAGACCTATTTAGAAAACTTTCTTGTCTTAGGTACAAGAAATGTCCCTCTGTTAAGCCAAAATTTGTTACTGACTCAGGGTTAAAAAGAAAAGTCATGCCAGTCCAAACCAAAATTGCAAAATAAACGTACTTAAAAATAATCCCCTTTCTGGCATTGATTTGTGGTGTGTTAAATGGGAAGCAGGATGGTTTCTTCGGGTAAAACACAGGGTGACCCCGAATTCCTGCTGGAAGGGCTGGATGTGGGATCCTCCCGGATTGTCTGGAACTGATGGCCGTCGCAGCCTTCATCGCACCTTCACACCTGCCGGGCCCGCGCACGGACATTCCCATCCGCTGCTGGCAACGAGCAGCCGCCGTGCTCGTCTGCTGGGGGGAGCACCCCAAAAAGCCGGGGGGGGGGGGGGGGTGTGCCGCTGCTCGAGCTGCACCCCAGAACCGCCCAAGTCGGGGGCGAAGGGGAGCGGGAAGGCGGGAGAAGCAGATTGGGGTGGCACGACGGCGGGAGCTGCCCGGCCCGCGGCCGCGGGCACGGCGGGCCTGGCCGTGGATCGGCGGGGCGAGGCCCCTGCCCTTCCCTGCGGGGACCCCCGGCAGCCGTGCGGGCCGCAGCCCGCCGATCCCCGCTCTCCTCAGCGGCGGCGGCGAGCCCCGCGGAGCCGAGGCGGAGATTAAAACCGCCGAGGTGGGGACGGAAAACGCCGCCAACTTCCTCCGGGGAGGGCCCGGCCCCGGGGCGGTGCGCTCCCCGCGGGGAGCCGGCCCTGCGCACGGCGGGGGGCGGCGGCGATGCGGGCCGCCTGGGTGCTGCTGCCGGCGCTGGCCGCCCTCTCCGCTTACTACGTGTACCTGCCGCTGCCCGGCACCGTGTCGGACCCCTGGAAGCTGATGCTGCTGGATGCCACCTTCCGGGCAGTGCAGCAGACGGTAAGGCGGCGTTACGGTCCCCCGGTTCCGGAGAGGCGGACAGGGCCCCCCCCCCCCCCCGGCGCCGGTGCCGCAGGCTGCTGGAAGCGGCGGCCGCCCCGGAGGAGCCGCCTTGGGCATCCGCGCAGCCCTCCCGGTGCCGCGGTCCCTGGGACCTCGCGAGGGGGACCCGGCGGGAGATCCGCGGTTTGCACTTCAGAGCCGAGGCGGGGAGAGGGGGTGAAGACGCCGGCAGCGCTGAACCCCCCGCGCCCGCGGTCACCGCCGGGCCGGGCCTTTACCGCATCCCGGAGGAGAAACGGGAATGGGGCTGGGATGTATCGCTCTGCCCGCCGAGCTGGGAGCGGCGGGCGGCTCCGGGCAGCGGCACCCCCAGGCTGCCCCTGGTTTCGGCCCAGCCAGCGTGCGCGTTTCAGCGAAGCTGCCATCCAGTCTTCTCTGGGTTTCGTAGCGCAGATTTAACCGGCTGTGGCTTAGTCGGGTTTCCAACTTGCAGGCTGTGGGTCAAAAAAAAAAAAAAAAAAAATGTTTTTTCTTCTGATACATTAAGTATGCCTTAGGGAAAGAAGGCATCAAGAAGCTCTTCCCAGCATTAAACTGCCTTGATTTGGAATTACTAAACAAAACTCTGAATGCTTGATTTTGTCACAAGACGTACATGACAGTTATCTCACTTCATGATGTCTTCCTCATTTTTTTGCCCGTGTTTTTAAGCTGACAAGAAACAGATCAGAGATCACAAACTTTGTGATAATGGCTTTAGCTGTGAGCTTTATTTCCTTCTAGGATGGTCTGATCTTTTACAAGGACTGATCAATCATGGTCAGGCCCCATGTAAGGTACCATGTTTGTGAAAATTTTGTTTTGTTTTGTTTATTTAACTTCCTAGTGGCACTTCAGTTTGCTAAATTGGTCCTGAAATGTACAAAAACTTCTACTTTGAGTGGATGAGACCATCAGCATATTCAAAAAAGGACTAAATTAACGGACAGAGGCCCTTAAATGGATATCAAAAGGACTAGATGAAAATGTACCTTCTGTGTTCCTAATACAGTAATCGCGGATGCTGGGAAGCATGAGGCGAGTGGTCCACAGTATCCAGAGTTGTATATTCTGCCTGAATAGCTTCTCTGGTTGCCACTGTTGGAGACAGTCTGGGATTAGATAGATCACTCATCTGAGACACTGGGGCATCTTCTCGTAGTCCAAAGATATCACCGATTCAAAGCATATCGCTAGGCTATAAGGATAAAACCTGTTTGCTTGCATACCCTCCCATATATCTGCTAGGAAGGTTATGCAGACGTGGCCTACAGTAGCTTCATTCTTCAGGAAAATCAAGGCTTGATGTTCACTTGCTACATGTTAAATAACTGAACAGCAAGCGCTCAGCTTGCCCAAATTCAGTGATATATATGTACGTACAGAAGGGCCGTGATCCCCCCAAGCATGCTGCCTGCAAAACGTCCTCACAGTCCAGCCAGGAACACCTGAATCCAGGCCATAACCTCTAGCCGAAGGAGACCTATCTTTAGAAACTCATGACTGTGACTCTATATGTGTATAATGCTGTTGGCTTATGTACACATTTAGTTTGTTTATGTGGTATGTTGTGCATACTCAGTTGAATTCTGGTGCCTCTAGTTTGGAGGCTGGAGGGTTTCTTTTTTGAGGTATTCTAGAGGTCATAATCCTGAGAGGAGCTGGCAGGACAGAGCCTGCCCGGGTGGCAGCTGCAGCAAACTGTCCGGCAGGGCTGAGGTGCCCACATGTGTCCCTGCTCTCTGGGGTGTAGATGTATCTGTTAGGGGAAGTAGCAATTTCTTAGTCGTTTACATCACTGGCCTTAGAAATACAAACTTCTATAGTGAGAAAAATTACTAAACAAGTAGCAGTTCCTGTAACGTAGCTTACAAACCAAAGGAAGGAATAAGTGAGTTTTACACAGAAGCATAAAGGAAGTGGGGCGTTGGAGATGCCCTGAATCACACAACAGGTAAACCTTGGGGCATTCCTTTCTGGAGAGAAAGAGAAGGTGCTTTCCAAGCATTCAGAAGCCTTTCCAACACTGCGACACAGCACGAAGTCGGGAATAAATGACTGCCATTAAGAAGGAACTGTGTGAACTGAAGCTAGAATTGTAAAAGATAAACTTCAGTATTTGCTTTGTTAGATGTTGTGTGTGTATGTAAAATAAAGTGCATGTCCTTCTGTAGAGCTCAGCTTCCCCTTTCTTCTTCTACCAGCTATTGCAAGACCAAATGGTTTAACTTTTCTCTAAATGTGAACTTTCACCCACTTCTGAATGTATTTTCATCTTGCTATCTATTACTTTGCTGTGTAGGTTTGATAGCAGACAGAAGTACATTTCTGATTTTAAAATCTCTGAAACGTGCTGCAATTCTTTTTTCTGCGGGCATGAGTCAAACTTTATATGCTTCAAATACAATTGATTGTCTTTTGCTTATTTTGAAACAGGTTTGTGAAGACTGACAATTAAGCATGACAATTCATTGTTAGGGATAATGTGTTTGTTTCCTCAGTGCATTAATAATCACTATCAATAAAACATAATAAGGCTGTCACTGGCTTTCAGCATACTAATGATAAGGTGTTGCGTTTCCATGTAGAGTTTTGTCCTTGTCAGCTACAAAATTTTTTACAAGCCTGGGACTGACTCAGTGTCCTGGCTTAGCATAAGACACTTAACAAATATTCAGGTATAATCACAGGTTAAAAATTCCATAATGCTTATAGGACAGTTCCTGTAAGTAGGTTTCAAAGCATACTACAGAAGGGGACCAATACTGTTATCCTAATCTTAATTTGAGGGGGGAACAGAGATAGGAAGAGATGGAGTGCATTATCCGAGCTCACAGAAATTCCAGTGGCAGAGCTGGAACCTGAGCTGGCTTTTCAGAGCCTTGTTCCTGTGCCCTCTTTAATGTCCTCTGCTGCCCCAGGATGAAAACGGAGAAACTTAAACTTTAATAATATTAATGAATTGATGTGAAAGCGCTTAACTGAAAATGAGAGTAATTTTCCCCTCTCACCTGTCTCAAAGATGGGACATGGTAACATTTTTACAGAAAACTGATATAACAGAAATTTAGCTCAGAAATTAAAAACTGTATACTTATGTATACAGGTATGTCAGAACTCAGCTTCACTGAAATTTGGACTACCACATAATTATGAGATTGAGCCACAGATTAAATCATAGGTATAAACAATACTTGGTGTCTGGTAAAAAGTATCTAAAGCAACGTTTCATAAATCTGCTATTAACAGCAGGATTGATACAGGCGTTTTACACTTCTTCCCCTAACCACTCTACCTTATCAGAGTAAAAGAGCAACATATGTTTATTAAATAAGACCTTTGAAATAAGTTATTTCTGAACACCACTGTCAAGATACTTGCTATTCCAATGCATAGCAAGGAAGAAATTATTTTTTTGGAACTGGGACAGCTGTTAGCAGAGGTTTGGAAGGACAAGTGGGTTGGCATAGGGGCCATCAGATAGATGTATAAGGAAGAACGTAGCCAGCTGTACAGAGGGTAAAACTATCCTCATTTTTTCCTTATTAGCCAAGTGATTCCTTCATGCTTCTCTGCCACTCCTGTGCTTTCAGAATAAAATCTAGGGCATGGAGCATCAGCATTCAGGATTAGAGAAAACAGTAATTAGTTCTTTATAACATTTTAACATCTATCTATGTATATATATTTCAGAGTATGTGACTTCTGGACAGACATAAATCATAGTTGTAGCCAGCCAAGTAAGTTGTTTATGTTTTTGCATGCAAGAACATAGTCTTGGAATTGGTTTACAGTAAACCAGGTTAGTTGTGGCGGGTAGGTCTCACAGCAGTGGAACCTGAGCACAGACTGAACCACACTGGAAGTCCTGTTTGCAGTAACAGGTAACTTTTGTCTCTATCTAGTATAAAAGCAAATCATCATGGGCGAATAGATATATGCACAAAACCTTACATTAAAATATAATCTAGCTTCTGCTTCTAATTAACAAACTGTAAAAGAGTTGTCTTGGCTTCTTTTCAGTTCTAAAGGCAATTTGTAAAACTAAGAGTGCTTGTCTTTGAGGATTGTCTTTATATGACACAGACAAAAATACATATTCTTTACTGGGCAATAATGCACCTGCATTAAGGAATGGTTCTGTAAAATAAAAGAAAATAGACATTCATCTTTAAACAGGATTAACTGCCTGAAAGGCACACAAAACAGTATGTTCTGCAGACAGCTAAATGGGGAAATGATCCTGTTTATTTTTCAGTAATCTGTATTATTGACTACAAATACTGTAGTTGGTATTTTGGACTCTAATGTTATAGAAGTGTGTTTTGCAAAGTGATGCCAGAATTGATGACAGTGTCTGCATCTTTTAAGGTAGGAAGTTTAGTCTCAGTTCACTCGCCCAGTTCCCGCATCATTACTCATTTGAGTCATGAGTGAAATTTGGCTTAGTCCCAAGTAGTGTTGTATGAAAAAAGAGCCTTAGCTGTTTGCTTAATTCCTGATCCTGCTTAGGCCAGAAAGGTCATTGCAGGACCTTGGTCTGACCAGCTGTGAAGGCCGTGGAGGAAGCAGCTGATGCATTCAGCTTGGCTTCAGAGACGCGCTGCCTCTGTGTACCACTGTGTACCTCCTGGATGTGACCTGTTGCAATAATTCCATGGCTAAAGGTCAGAGATGTGAAGCCAGACAGTCATATGAGGACAAAGAATCCCAAAGTGCTGAGTACTGTTAGAGGTCAATAGACATTAGCAACAGAAAAACTCTTCTGGATTTTTTTTGTTTTTTGTTTTTTTGTGAAGCAGAACGCATGTCTAATATGAAGTACAGGTCCATGAGGGAGGTAAGCCTAATAGCAGTGAGCATTTGGGATTCTTCATGAAATTACCAGCTGAGGAGCCAATAGAAGGATCCTGATAGTTTAGGGACAGATGTTGGGGCTTAAAGGTGAAATAATGGTGCCTCTAGAGCAGTACCTTGTTCATTCTGTCTGCTTTTTATCACAACCCTGACTCCCTTCTTAATTTATTGAAAATTTTCTCCTACATCAGTTAAATCTTTAAATATCTGGTACCCCTCACCAAAGAATTTACCAGGAGGAAGGCGTCAGCCTTGAACAGTTTAGTCTCTAGCAGGTCCATGGGTTGTCCCTAGCTGAAAACCCCTGTGATGGGGATGTCCGAGTAGAAGAAGAGATTGTGGTTGTAATGATTGCTTTGCCAGACTTGCTGGAGTGCTGGGGAGCATTACAGCGTGAGTGTAAATGACACTGCTGCCGAGGCAGCTGTGGGTCACGGGGAGCCAGCAGCCCCAAAATGAAAAGCTGCCATTGGAAATGAGCAGTAGATTGTCAGGAGGGCTAGTGTAACATGTCCAGTGGTTATTTGCTAAATTGGCTCCAACGCCACCAAAATACTCACGTTGGCCTCGCTGGCCTGCCTACCCCTCCTCTCCTGGCGTGGCCCTGCTCATCCAGCTCTGCCCGCTTCCCGGCCGCTCGGCTCCCTCGGTGAGTGTCAGCCCATGACTCAGTCCAGCCCGCAACGCCGTGAAGTTCACCAGCCACGTTTCCCCAGAGTTACCTGTTCAGAAAACAAAAATGTTTAGCCAGATGGATGCATAAAACCAGTCACTACATGGGAAGACTTGCGGCTGGGGCCCAGACTGAGTGATGTGCTCTGCCTGGAGCTGGCACAGCAATTCTGGGCTAATTGCCCACACGGCTTTCATCTTTATACTATCTCCTCTTTTCTGTGAGCTCGTCTCTACTTTTTTCTGTAGTTTTTTAACTTCCCCCTTGTTCTTTTGCTTTCTCTTCCTTTTCACTAGCCTTTACTGTTACAGCACTGTCTTTCCCTTTTCACCATGGAACATCACTGTTTCTTCTCTTCCACATGCATATGAACACACGTAATTCCCAAATATATTTAAGTGCTATATTTGATAGCCTGCAACAGTCCTGCATGTTGTCACAGAAATGGTGGTAAAAATCATGAATACCAGCAAAGATCAAACCAATTATCGCTCACATGAAATGACCAGATACAGTATTATAATAGATTTAAGGTGATCCAACTGTGGACTGCTGCCAGGAGGGCTGGTCCCATCCTTTCCTCCACTCCCTCTTTCCTGCCTTGGGTTGTCAGTAAGATGGTCACGTGGCTGAAGTTTAATGTTGTCTTTCTGTTTTTGCTGGGTTCATATCGAGCTGGTGCATCAAGGTTATGCTCTGAGGCTTCATGTTCATTAGTGCCAACACAAGGAAGGTGCCAGGGAAGCACAGCTGACAGCATGGGCAGGTCTGCTCTTTGGGTGGCAATATAGCCCTAGAGGAGAGTTATCTAACCATTAAATATATCTTTTTCTGCCCGTGGTTATAATATGGAGTGATAAGATATTATATATCTATTTTAAATATTTATTTATAGAGAAAAAAATATAAGAATTTTATTTGCAAGAACTTTGGACAAGACTGGCTCTTTGCCAGCAAAAAGTGCAATCCTGGTGCCTTACAAATAGGCATACCAAATATGCTGATTAGATAGACATACTTACAACGAATCTGTCTGATAAGTGCTTGGCAAAAAAACTGCCTATGCTTACCAAAAAAATTAGGAGTGTTGCTTTTGTGCCCTGATATACAAAGCATCTCTTCCAGGTTTTTGGATTCTTGGAAAGAGGAGGGGTCTATTATAGGGGAAAAAAAAAAAAAAAAAAGTCATGCAAGCCTGTGATTAAACAGCAGAACACCATGGCCATCTGCAGGTTAAGAACAGAGCAGAATACTTCTCAGTAAACAACGCTAACTAGCCTTGAAAATAAAATATTTCTGATTCCAGGGAACATGTGGTAATCTCGTCTACAAAGAATGTGAACTAAAGTGGGAGAAAACTAAAATGAGATGTCTGTTGCAGCACAGTCAGGATAAAAAAATCTACAAAAACATTGTTTTCCCTGGCAGTATTTTTAAAATTGCTTCCCAGTGGTTACCTTCCTTGGGAACGTCCATGGGGCACAGGGAGGATCAGATCTTTAGCTTGTTACATCAGTGGCAGCCCAACAAATGGTGTGCCAAATTATTAATATATCTCTTCAGATTTCAAACTCGAACAGGGTTTTCCTGTGGGAATTCTTCAGTAACAGTGGGAGAAAAGCATGATCTGAAATTACGAGATACGAACAGCCTTGTGAATTCAGCATTTCTTCCTGCCGGGCGGATACTTTGTGTTCCTTCTCCCAGAGAAAAAGCCTTGCATTATGAAGAAATTCTATTCCATCCAAAAAAACAGGAAACATTTTAAAATTTGGATTCCCACCAAACTATCTCAGCAGGGTGACATTACCACAAGCTAAAGCAAGAAAAGAAAGTGATTTTTGTAAATTCTTGTTTTGGAAGTGGATTCCTCTCCCCACTCACATAGCAGCCCACAGTATTTGGCATATATTTTTTTTGGAAAAATTATCAAAGCTTGTCTTCTTTCTACAGCAATTTGCAGTGGAAGTGAGGCTGTGCAGGGCCTTTTCTATACAGCACCTGACTGAAAGCCAATTTTTTTTTTGTTTGTTTTACATTCAAACTAATGATGTCATATTAGATGGTTACATGTAACGAGCTGGGGCTGTAGACATAAGGAGGCAGATCTTGTTTGGCATGGATACTGCTGAATGCTTCAAAATGTGCTTTTCCTCCGGAGGTGTGTGTTTGCCTCTGTTAGCCCTTCCTTTGCTGCGAGCAGGTGCTCCTGGCAGAGAAGCTGAATTTTGGCACTGAAAGTGCCTCTGAAAATGGTGTTGCAGAAGTACAGTAAAGAAACCCAAGTCAAGAAAATGAAATACCTGTCCTTGTGAACAGATAAGAGAAACCAGAAAGAGACCCTGAAACTCTTTATTTGCAAAACATTGTCTGTCATGAGGAACCAGACTTGGCTTCCACTTAGTTTTGGTACAGGTTAAGCTATGGCAACTATTTGTTGTTCACAACGTGAATGCGGTTAGACCAGCACCTGGGTGACCCTGCTCTCTCAGGTGTCAGCATCTTTAATTCATACTAGCAGGTTTGCACTGCACTAGCAGTACTAGCAGAAGTAAAACAGTTACGTGGTCATGTGTAGACGAGCCCCATGGCACCTAACAGTACACCTCTTATTCCAAGTGTTTGGGAACTGTTCATAAAAGAAGAGGTCACAGCTGACAGTTTCCTTTATGGTAGTTGTCCTATAGGTGTACACTAGGTACATATATTAATTACCTCCCAACTCCATTTCCTGAACTGAGAAAGCTGTACAAAAGGCTTAGCTGCTTCTCCAATTTCTAGCCTTCATCACTAGGACAGAGATTAACACTTCAAAAGGGGAAGGATCCCCACTACTTTTTATTTTTTAATGGCCAGTCTGGAAGTCGTAGTCCCTGCAGTCCTTTGGCTCGCCCTTTGCCACTCCTTCTGCACCAGCCAGGGAGTGGGAACAAGTATGCACTACAAATAGCCTGCAGGTCATATGTGGGGAGCAGGTCGTGACCATTTAGCTTGGAGGAGAGTGCCTTGGATCCCAGTACTGTTTACTGAGAGAAACAGGTTTTTAATCTATTCAGGGCAAAGAATAAAAAATAAATATGAACATAAAAACCCTGGTTAGCCAGAGGGGATAAAATCTCTCCCCTTCTACCGTAAGGGGACAAAAAGATCAGATCATTCTTCATTTTCATAGTGGCTTACCCACCTCCCCCCAAAAAAGTAGCACACTTTAGTCTCTGGGGTTGGGAAAAAAAAGTCACCAACTTGCCATGGTTCTTGAATAGTGTTTCAGATCCTTCCCAATTCAGCAGGTAAATACAGGACAAGCCAATAAACAATCATTATATTCCCTTAAGACTATTCCAGTTTTCAAATTTCTTTGTAATCCTTGAACTTTCTTAATACAGAAGTGGAAAGATTTACGCTTTGGGGTGGAACAAGAGAAATACTTTGCATTTATGATACCTTACCACCACGAAAACTTTGCCTGTGTGGTATTGCCCTCTGGTGGCACCGCTCTGAGGAGCTTTGCAAGTCCCGCAGTGGAGTATGCCGGTGAGGTTCATTTCCTTTCGTGGTGTCTTTGAAAGGCAAGGATCTGAGTGCCCGAACTGCGTAGTGCTCGTGGTTTGATTTATTTTGACAACAGAGAGTCTTTTATGGACAGTATTTTGTTTTAATACAATTTTAAAAGTATTAGAGGTCTTTGATAATCATTAATTTTCCAGTGAATATTCTAAGAATCTGTATTCGTTTTCGTATAGGACCTGCCCTTTGAAGACATATGCATTAAACATCAATGCAGTGTTATATGATATGCTCTGAAGTAACAGAAATCTCCTTTTTTCTTCTTTTTTACAGTGTCACCTGATTCACTATCTGAGACTCAGCCATCACTTGATAGTTCTGAATTATTTGATTTGTACTTTTGATAAGCTGAAGTCTGTCTCCTCTGAAGACATTAACATCACGGATGCTGTTTTTGACGGTGTGGAAGTCAGAGTATTTGAACCTCCTGCGAAGCGAGATGAAAGGCTCAAGCGCAGCGTTGTTTACATCCACGGAGGGGGCTGGGCCTTGGCAAGTGCAAGTATGTGTCTGCCAGTAATTAAATGGGATGCTGGTTTGGTTTTCTCCTAGCAGGAGAAGCTAAAAGCTGTTTTGCCTGCCAGGGATGAAAATTTTGCTAAGACGTACCTGAAATCAGTAGTAATTGTCTCCACTCTGGTAGATTGGCTCTAAGGAAGCGGGGGGAGGATAAGTGTGAACACAAAGCAAAAATGCATATCTTATCTGCACGTGAGCTGTAAGAGGACCAAAACATTAATTTTGTTATATCCTAAGAGGACAAAATAGCTTATTGTCTAAATTCCTGGGATGCCTGGATGGGCTGTTTGGGCCAGTCCCTTGTTTTCTGTGGTCATGTGCAAAAGTCAGTCCTTGGTGATTAGGATTTAGCGACTATGTGTAAGGGGTTTGCCCCATTTTCAGACAATAATTAGCAGAAAAGTGAGCTGACCAACACTGCCTGTAACAGCATTACTAATGTTTGGCTCTTAAATAACACATACTTGGGAATATATGCTGCTGATCACAGACAACAGGCAGTGTGATGAAGAAAATGGGTAGAGGTGGGTTACTGTCCCGTGGTCTGGCCCCTTCCCTTAGAGGACCACTGCCACCACTAGCAGAAATTACCTTGAAAATTAATGCTATTTACTCCAGTTAACTTGGAAGCCACAAACATGATCAGAGAAAGTAAGGTGCTGCTCTAGGCAATGATAAGGTAACCACTGATCTTTCCACATCTTAGAGCACGAGAAAAGCCATGGGAGGAGAAAGAGCATGTGGTTCTCACAGCTTCTCCAAGATCCAGATCCGATAGGAGTCTTTCTCCTTCGCCTTCCCCATTGCTCCCATGACATCATGAAGTCCATACAGCCCTGATGCATTCTGTGGCTTCATCTATAAAAAAAGAACATTGATGGGGTTTTCAAAAATGTTCCAAAACAAAGACTATATTGATTGCATTTGGACTATGCATGTATAAATCACTTAGACCATGATTTAAGAGAGATTTGGGTTCCTAAATAACTTTAAAATCTGTCTTTCACATGCCTTTGGAAATCCCAGTCTCTTTGTCCTTCAATCCTATAGCAGTTAAAAATTTTGCTTCTCTTTCTACAAGGAATTTTGCTTTGAGTTGGGTTTTCTTAGGCTTGCTTAAGGAATGTTTGTTAGCGTCCTGTCCGCCTTGTTTGTTCTGTAACAGTTTGCACATGACTCTTGTGCAAAAAGTTCATATTAAACTACCATGCTTTCTTTGGATGACTATAATTCAGCTATGTGAGATGCTATCCTTGAGTCCAAGATGCAGAAGTTAATGGCACAAATGTTACAGCTAAATATTAAATTCTAAAACTAGATACTTTAGAAAACGCTTAGTGTCACAGTGTGTTTTATAGTACCGGGAACCAACGATTAAGTAAGTGGAAAGGAATAAAATTAAAGACAATCAGTTCATTGATAAATAGAATAGCTGTGATTAATCCTCCCTTAAATGAGTAGTTCAGTTGGCATTAATAGGGCAACTCATTTGAATCTAAGCAATACATGCTATAATAAAATGAACAACAAGCAGTGACTCATACAGTGATAACTGTCTCTGGATGCTAATGCCCCCAAGCCACTGAGTACCTTGAATTTTGCCCTACCAAGAGAACTGTGATATGTGGGTGAAATTACATGCCCGAAGTCACCAAGAAACAGATGAGAAAGAAACCATTAGACTGCAGGACTTCTCAAGGCATGAATTATGTTCCTTCTGCTCCAATATTTGGCACTTCATCTACTGCAAGCTGATCTCATTTACATTTCTGATATTTCTATCATGTCTTTATATTTTCTGAGAAGGCTTATGTATGGCTTTGTGAATATTGACATAAATGGACTCGTAGGTCTCTAACACCATGTCCTTTCGTTCCAGGAACAAGCCTTTATAACAATCTCTGCAGAATCATGGCTGAATCTCTCAATGCTGTAGTTGTCTCAGTTGAGTGAGTAATCTAAAACTGATCAAGTAATTTTAAGGTATTAGAAATACGTAATGTAGTTCTTTTAGCTTTTCCCTTGTTACTGGCTTCTGTATAAGGCTTTAACTTGGACAGTAATTCTCTATACCAGTCTGATATTTTTATCCTTTTAAAATTACAACAAATTGAAATGGTATGAAAAATTCATTTGGGCTTCTAATTATTTTAGAGGTCATTTCAGGAGGCAGAAATGTGGGAAAAAAGTAGCACTGAATGCAGTTGGACAAATACTAAAATGCAAATGTTAATGCATCTTGCAATTGTATCTACATGTACGGAGTGCCACTAAAACCTGAGATCATTCAAGTGCCAAGTTACGATTTTGTAAATACTTGTGAACTTTAAAAAAACAAACAAGAAACCCAGACACATTTGGAGATGATATATACCTGAAGGAGGGCTGAGCCCCATCTCTGTGCCCCTTCACGTATCAAGGAGGACTGAAGTCTGTCTACAAACCACAGTTTCTAAGTCATATTGAGCAAGGGTCTGCAACATAAAAATTATCAAATCATTTTACCCTTGCTCATTAACCAGAATACACTGTGGAGTCTGGCAGTTTCCTGCTGCTCTCTCAATCTCGTACTGTTCCAGTCATCTCCTCTAAGCCTTGTACTCCACTCAAGAGCAGAGGACTGCCAGGGTGCCAGACAACAGAGAAGCAGGGCTGGTTTTTTAACTCACTGAACAATTATAAGGTAAACAAACCTCTCAACTAGCTAACTACGTTACTTAGATGACTCCAACTTGATTGGTACTTTCCCCATCCTTATTGTCAACTTCAATATTTTCTTTTGCAAATGCAATTACTTGATATAACTACTCAAGTTTCCCACCTGCAGTTGATTATATATCAAGCTCTGTGATTTAATTGCAGCTTAATTATATGGAGTTGATGTTACTCATTCAATACTTATAGCATACTTTAAAGGGTCGCTATTTTTTACTTCTTTGTTGTTTATTAGTAGAAACAATGAAAACTAAAAAAGCAGCTGTTGGTTATTCCAGATGAGCAGTGATCACAGTATTGAAAAGGTCCTCATTATTCCTCTTATGATTTAAGGTGGTATAATTCTGCTTGTTTCTCTGAGTTATTGTTTACCTCTTCTCCTTAGCCATTATATCTTTCAATCAAGGCATTTGTACTCAATTAGTGAAGACTAATTAGATTTATCATTGGTTTAACTGCACGTCTTGCTTTCATGATAAATGCACAGTCTGTTACACAGCTTTGCAAGGAGTTCCCAAAGCACTCTCTCATATTCCTTTGTAGTTAATGCAATATACAGATTGCTTTCTGAAAGCAGGTCAGATTTGGAGTTTGAAAAACTTTTTGTGTAACCAAAGTTTAAATTTTATTCTGCGTGTGAAACTTGTTTTAGCTTAGATTCTGAAGAAAACTAGATTTTGTTTTGCTTGACTCTACTGAGAATATGTAAAATCTGTTGTTTGAAAAGCTACAAACAGAAGATGTGCTTTGTACCATAAGGCCTAGTAACAACTCTTAGATTACAAATTATTCAGTAAATATGAACAGACTTCTGCACTGTTATTTAGAAATTGAGAAAATCTTACGAATGGGACTCAGCTGCTGACTCTTCTGGGCAGACTGTGCACTCTCTCTGTGCCTGCACAATGGATATATTCCTGTTCCACTCCTTGATAAAAGGAGAGGAATTACTGAATCTGTTGCATTGGAGCAAACTGCTTTTCACTTCCTGGCTATCGTTCATTTCATGGCACAGAGGTATAGCAAGGTTCATTCTCTCCTGAGCATAGGTGAAAATTCAGGAAACAGAACTGCTTATGTGTTTGGCTCAGTGGAATCTGTTGGGTGTATATGACTTACTCTCCCTCGTACTAGTTAAGGTGGGGATTTGGATCAAAACCAGCCTGATTGTAATGACTCCCTTGCCAAGGGTGTTTTAAATATTCATTCATTTTTACAATGTGTGATAAAATCCTCTATTGGGAAAACCTAGAAAAGTGCTGCATAATTTTATGCTATCTTGGTATTATTCATATCTAGCAGGTTCCTATTAATCTTTCAGAATTAGAGCAATAATTATAAGATTAAGTCTTACATAAGTATTACACACCTCATATTTTTCCCGTAATATTTATCCTAATGAAATAGTTATTTGCCATTAAGGAATACCAGGTATCACCTATTAATCCCAAAAGAGAGGTACATCAATGGTAATAATTGTCTCTCACCTTTTTTCTTTACAGATACAGGCTGGTACCAGAGGTGTGCTTCCCTGAGCAATTCCATGATGCTCTTCGTGCTGCTAAGCATTTTCTGCAGCCTGATGTCTTAGCTGAGTATTCAGTTGACCCAAGTCGAATTGCAATTTCTGGCGATAGCGCAGGAGGAAATTTGGCAGCTGCTGTGTGTCAGCAGGTAACACCCAGTGTCTGTCACGTATTACGCTATGACAGTCCCTAATTCGGTGATGCATATAGGTTGACAGATTCTTTGTGCTGCGTCATCACAAGGTGATATGCCAACCCTAAAGACAGAATGGTAGAAAGCCAGCATCTAGTCAGTTTACAGAAGAAAAATGAGTCAATCACAGTATGCATCACATAGCTTGCAATGTCTTACTACAGTTACAGGTTGTTATGGGCCAGATATTAAGAGCAGATAGCTAAATGACTTTTTTTTACCCCATTTGCTGGGTCAATTCTTTATTTTTCTAAGTAGGTAACTAGGTATATGCATAATTTATCAATTTAGCTTCCTATGTTTATATGCTTGTCTCTGAAAATATGTTTTTATATCTTTGAAATACAAGTGAAGGACAAAATAATACAATAAATTAAGCTCAATTCTTGTGTTAAATTGTCTTCCTGTCACATTTTGCAATTTTAAGGAAATTTCTTTTGTGTACCTGCAGTTTAAATGTCATCTGAATTTAATCTAGTAAAGATTTTAAAGGCAGCCCGGGGCAAGTAATAATATTTTTCATGGTTGAGTGAAATATTAGCTTTTTCATATTGCCATAACCATTGGTGATAAGAAAGTAGATACCATGTCCAGACAACTAATTATCATTACAATCTTGAAGTATTGAATTAGGGTGAAAAAATTAATAAGAGACAATTACACTAAAAGTTTCAATATTGAGGGCTGATAAACATGATAGTACCATGTTTTGGAAAAAGCATTCCTAATTTGTTTTCCTGATGCATAATTCTTTTTAAACAAGATGAGATATGATAGAGGACTGTGTATCTTGTGTAGAAGATGAAGCAAAACAAGTGTTTGCTGATTCTTCCAGTAAAAGAATTAAGGGGCACCAAATGTATAATGTGTAGGTTCAAATCAAATGCAGATGGCAGGGTCAAGTCAAATACAGAGAGGTCCTTCTGCACATGGCAAGCCTTTGCTAGAGGAAACTGGATGCCAACAATTTGCATTAGCTGTAAAACAATTAGATAAATTCATGAAAAAAAAAATGAAAAGCTGTTAAAAGCAAGAATAGCTCCTTTGGTTCAGGAAGTCCTTCAGTTGCCAGTTGTTAATCTGGGCAATGTGTTAGAGAAATGCCACTTTACACTTTTTTTTTCCTACACCCTACAATAAATTTTTGCCACTGATTTCTGTTGGAGACAGGATACTGGGTCTGCCTGAATGGCCATCCTTACAAGAGAAGAAAAAGATCAGGCTGCTAATATTTTGAACAAAAGAACAACATTATCTGTGTAAGAGCAGAATTCAGTCTAAAAATTGCCAAATGAATAGTTGCTTATATGAAGTTCTAGATTGGTATTATAATGTTTAATTTCTTTATAATCCCAATTCTGTCCTATATTTTTTTCCACAGCTTAGCAAAGATGAGCATTTGACCATCAGACCAAAACTGCAGGCCTTAATTTATCCAGTCCTTCAGGCATTTGACTTCAATACACCTTCCTATCAGCAGAACATGAATATGCCTGTCCTTCCTCGTTATGTCATGATCAACTATTGGATAGATTATTTCAATGGTAATTATGACTTGGCTCACTCGCTGCTGATTAACAACCACACTGCTCTTGACGTTGGCCAAGCTCTCTCTTTCAGAGGACGTCTGAACTGGACATCTCTACTGCCTTCATCGTTCAAAAAGAACTACAAGCCTGTAATACAAACCACAGGCAAGGCTGAAATCATCCAGGAGATACCAGCGCTGCTTGATGTACGAGCAGTCCCACTCCTTGCAGAAAATGAAACTCTTCAGCTGCAGCCAAAGACTTACATCCTAACCTGTGAGAATGACGTCCTGCGAGATGACGGGGTGATGTACGCCAAGCGCTTGGAGAACGCCGGCGTGGAAGTCACGCTCGATCACTTCGATGATTGCTTTCATGGTTGTATGATATTCACCATTTGGCCTACTGATTTCTCTGCAGGGATTCAGACCAGGAACAGCTATATAAAATGGCTGGATGAAAACCTGTAAAGAGAGGGTCTCTCTAGAAGATGCAGGGTGAGCAACACTGATCTGCTCTTGCTAAAGAGCAAACAATGAAAAAGTGCACTTTTCCAAATTCTGACTTTGTCTTTTCAGCTGCAGCTGCTGGGGGTTACAGACCACTAACTACAGCATTCACTAGCTCGAATGGCCTTGCCCAGCAAAGTATTTTGAGAAATACTTTTTCAAACTTTGATTTTTTTTTTCCACCTTCTTTAAGATGACTATTGCCAAGTATTTACAATGTTGAGCAGGGAGATCAGCATTCCTGTAGCATTCTTAACTGACTGCAGCTTTCAGGCTTTGATTTAATTAGGCACAAAGGCCCCAGTTTTCAAATGATGTGAGGTAAAGCCAAACACCTACATCTACATCTGAATATATAAAAATGGGAGCTCGGTTTCAACAGTGGAGCACTTGATGTCAAAGAAAGTGTGAGCACTCTCATCTTTGACAGCAGAGCCATGCATGTGAATGTTAAGCATGGATTTTGGTGTTGGCTTTCAGGCACGTAGACAAATGGCTCATTTAAACTACAAAAAAAAAAAAAAAAAAAAAGGCAAACTCTTCTAGGCAAGTTAAGACGATGTTAGACAAGCCTCTTAGTCAAACGTGTAATTCAGCTTTGAAATTTGGTCTTTATTGCCTTTCAGTTATTTATATTTTATAAAAGGACAGGTCTAAATATACTTTCAATAAAAAGTATTATAGCATACATACAAATATGTGGGATAAAATACTGTGTGTAGGAGCAGAATCCAGGTTGCTTATGTGACCAGACTTCAAAGCTGACTACTTACTTGGCTAAAGAATGTGACTTTACCTGAATTTAAATCCTCAGTTTTATGACCCCCTTGCAGAAAACACTGAGTTTACTAAAAATAATCTGCTGTGTGGTTTGCACTAATGTTTGTAAGTAATAGTAGAAGTTTTTGTTCTCTGACTTTTCTTTTGTGCTTGTAGTGTTTATTATATTTCATGCTTCCTGGAAGGAGGGAGGCAAGCAAACAGAAGTGGGCTCTAATCTGTACAGAAGATTTAAATCTGAACTTTGCAGCTAAACTTTGTCTTGTAGACTGATGCAAAACACTAGGTAAGATGATCTCACTGTTGTGCTACAACAGGAAAAAAAGTTTGAGCCAGTCTGTAAAATTCAGACAAGCAGGACAGGGAAGCAAAGCCACTTGTGACAGTGTATATTGTCAAGGCTGCTTATGGCTTGCAGAAATGAACGTTGTGTCAAAAGCCCAGTGTTTCTAGGCAAAGATGAGAGAATGACTGACCCATGACCGAACTAGTGGATTAAATTCATCCTCAGCTTTACCACAGACTTCCTGTGGGAGTCCAGAACAGCTTAGTCTCCTTAGGCCTCACTTTCTTTTTCTGCAAGAGAGCGAGTGGTGATTACCTACCTCACAAAGGAGCTGTGAAGCTGAATTCACCGGCGTTGGTGAAGCACAGGGACGTGATGGGGACTGGCAGGCACTGAACAGCTCCCGTAGCTTTCGACTTTCCATCCTTCTCTCCGAGGTGGCTCCGAGCAGCGTGCCCCATGACGCGTGGTGCTGCTCGGCTGCGTCCTGCACAGCTCGCTCATCTCTGTCCTGGCTCCTGTCAGAGCACCACAAGGTGAGGCTTCTTGGCCGCTGGGAGATCATGACAAAGGTGATTTCATTAGAGCGTTTCTTATGGCAGGATTCTGAAAAGTTCTTTTAAAAAAAAAAAAAAAAAAAGGTACTGGTAGATCAAACTGCTTTCTGTCATTTAAAATATATACAGGCCAGGCCACTTTCACTGGTGTTTAAATTAAATAAGAGAATGGCTTTGCTGAATCATTGCTTCCTAGAAACATCAGGTTGTTAATGTGGTTGTATGTATTAAGAAAAGTTATCAATGAGACAAGGCCTCAATGTAGGCTCAGTCATGCAGGCTGAAACTAATTTCTGGGCATTGGTTCACACAGAGGTCACAAGCCAAAGCTTTTTCAACAGTGGTCAGATTGTTATTCCATTTAGATCATTACAAAGACTCAGTGGAATTAGAGCTGATGAGTGACAATCTGAATCAGGATAAATTTTGGTCAAGATATTCAATTAACACTGCAGAAGAATTAAAACTTTTTTTCTGGATTTCAACACCGTTTCCTCCTTTCCCCCATAAACACAACTTCAGTACATATAATTTAGATTTAAAACAGGCAGCTCCAAAGTTATGTCCATTCTAAAGACAAATTACTAATCTTGAAGGTCTGCTCCAGTGTCCTTTCCACTCTATGGAGACAGCTCCATTTACTTGACTTTAGACCATGACTTAGAGAATCGAAAAATATCATTACACTGAGTTGTGACAACAGGCTTCTTCCTGGCTTTCCCACTTAGAGTAAACCCACGACAGAAAAGATATAATTTATACCCACCTGCCATTATTAAAAGATAGTAGTTACTGTAGTACTGGGAAAAAAAAGTGGTTAATATTACTATAAATTCTATAATAATTAAGTTTGCCTGAGAGCTGTCTGCAAAGCTTTATATCAGCATCTGTTTATAGCTAAGTTATAAATAGCTGCTGTGAAGCTATAATATAATTGCTGCTGGTTTTTTTAACTGAAATGAAATGGAGAGCTGGAATATATAGTCATGGAATTGGCTGTAAATTTCCTTCACGCACTGAAGCACATTAAAGTCTTGGCACAAGAAATGGTAGTAAGTATATAACTGGACTGAATGTGTTTACTAAGACATCACCAGCTTGATGCAACATCCAAGATAGCAGCACAACTTGGATGAGATGTTACAGTATTAACTAGTTCTGTCAAAATATCTTGACTACTTTTATCATGCAGCTATATGGTTTAAGTACGTGATAGCTGCAAAGGATCCTGTGTTCCAGCTATGAAAAGAACTTTTAGTATATAACTGCACAAGACACTTGATTAAAATTCAGTGTAAACCTTGAAGTAAGTGTTAGTCCAAACTCAGCTTTCCTTCTACTTTCCTTTGCATGTAGTTCCTGTGCCCAAAGTTGAAAGTTCTGGGTTGTTTCCAGCTGATCTGCTGCAAACTCCCAGGAGCAGAGCACTAACTCAGCTGAGAGCTCAACCCAGGCCAGCAGGCATGGTTACAGGAAGCTGATGCCTGCTAGCAAGGGATTAAGATTAATGCATGTTACAACACCTCGATTTGTTCATGTGTTTAGTCCGAAAGTGTCTCCTTCAGTCTCCTGAAGTGTTTCCTCAGGCGTACCTACCGCCTTCATTCCTTGGCTATTTCACAAAGCAGTTTAGGGCACTTTGCACACTGTAGGATCAGATCAAGTATTTGTAACAATATTTCACCTGTGCATAATAAAAAGCCAGTATTCTAAAAGAAGATACTCCATAAATTCATCTATTTATCTTTAGCTACTTTTTGTAGATAGCTTTTTTTTTTTCCCCCCCTTCTACAATTAGACTTTATCTATCCATTGCAGGAATACCTCATTCCTGATGATGGTCAAAGCATTCAAATGTAAGCTTTTTAAAACAACAACAACAACAAAAAAACCAAACCCAAACAAACAAAAAAAAAAACCACCCAAAACTCACATCACAGAACCTATAGCCATTTGTATCCTACTTTCATAGACCTGTGAACTATACTAGCAGGTCCCCAGTATTTTGGCTAATATTCACAGGAATAAATGGAGGTTTTGTCTCCCTAGTTTAGGAACTCAAATAATGGGTGTTTGGCATTCCTGAAAACCCAGACCCATTTAAAGATGTTTCATGGTGCATAAAAATCACACATAAGATGAATTTCCTAACCTTCATCCAAGTAATTCCAAAATTGCTTCCCTAGCCTAAGCAGAAAGGCCATTGTGGGTTTGAAGCCCTACAAACTAAAAATAAATGCTTCATCTTTAAAATGTTATTTTGTAGTGTTTGGGCCTCTATTTTTTTAATCTCTTAACAAACTTTATTAGAAACTTTTTCAAATAAAAATACTAGAAGTAGGTTAACCTGTATTAAAACTTTTAAGCTGCTAAGATCTGTAACAATGATGTTAAAAAAAACAAACCCAGCTGATTTAATGTTCTCTTATTTATGATGTTCAAAACCCCAAAATACAACATACTTCATAGGAATGCATTCAGTATCTTATGCATGACTGTTTTTTGCTTCATTTCCCAGTGCAGGGGAAAGATCTTGTAACATCTAATTAGCAAGTGTGCTTGAGATGTGCTATCAAAATGAAGAACAAATAAATAAAGTGAAATATATCTGGCTTGTTTTGTTTTTTTTTTTTCCCTAGGACCACTGATTTTATTTTACAATGTACAACATTTCCAGTTTGAGTTTTCACTTAGCAGAGGTCAGTGAAACAAAGTGAGAGACCTCAGAGTTCCTGAAGAAATGCTGAACCAAAGCCTAGGTGGCTGTTTTCAAGGCAGGCAGCCTTGCCTGCACGTCCGTGGGCTGCGAGGGTGACCTCCTCTTACTTCATTTTGGCCAAATGATTAATGGTGAGCACATCTGGTGGTGTTGAATAGTGGACGATACCTGCACTCGTGCTGTTCTTCTCTTTCAAGATAGACAGCGGCACTCGTGTTCTCCAGTCTATCTATAAACACATTTTTATATGCTTATAGATTATGTATATGTTTGCAATCCGTTTTAGCCAGTGAAAGCCCTAGTTCCATTTTCATTCCTGTTTGCCTTCCTTTCACATTCTTTCTTTCTGAACTGTTACCCATTCTCTTCCACTGCTCTCTCATTTATTCATGATCATAGCAGCAATACTTTTAAAATATCCTAATGTGGGGGTTGGCCATTTTCTCCAGCAGTGTCCGGTGACTTTCACAGAATATAAAGCTTTCCTCCTGCTGAAAAAAAGTGCTGGGGGAAAAAAGCTTCAGAGGACTTACGACCCTATTTTTAAGTCATCAGGAGTCATACACCTGCCTGCATTAAATGGAATGCATTAAAAACAGTCTGGCACCCATAGAACACTTTTTTTCCCAGTCGTGTTTTCTTAGATTTAGTAAGAATTCTGGCTGGGCAGGGCCGTGCCCCCGCGGCCGGGTGCCGCTGCGGGAGGATGCACAGCCCGGGCTCGCTGCCGTCTGTGCTGCTGCCGGAGGTCTGACAAAGCGGCTGGCCCCAAACCCTCAGCAGCACCTTCAGATGGCCTTCCACGAGGGCGGAAGGCATCTCAATTCAAGCGTTACTCTGCCATGGGTACAGCACACGTTTTGTTTTTTTTTTTCGGGACTGCGGTGCTGCTGAGTATGAGACATCCACGTGGGGCTGGCTGACGTGTCAAAACTCACGGGGGGGACAAGCTTGGAGGCCGAGCCTGGTGCCCAAGCGCGTCTCCGATCGCACCGGATGCCTCGATGGTGCTGGAGCTGTATTTCCCTGTTCCCACTGCAGCACCCTATTTCCCACCTCCTACCCTCAACTGCGGGACCGGGGCAGCAGCGGGTGCGTGGTGGGGCTGTGACCCACGTGTCCCCCCCGCCCCACGCCGGACAGCCCACACAGCCTCGTGCCTCTGCATCCAGAAATCCCACCCGTCACCTCCATCCCTCCTGGCCGGGTGCTGCTCCCTGCCTCACACTTAGAAAACACTTTGGAGCTGGGCCACGTTTTATTTTGTTCCCCAGGGAAGCACACATTTTCTGCTTGCTCTTAATTCTGCTTTTTTTGGCACTAATTCAGTGGCATTTATTTCTTTTACAAATGTTGTTTAAATAGTTGGCAGCACATCATTAATATGAGACTGGGTTTTACCCCTAATATAAATTTAATAATTCTTCACAATGATTTTCTACAGCATTTTAAAGTGTTTATCAACTGTTCAACAGGAAGACATGCTAAAGAAAACAAAAAAGAAACCCTGCAATGACTCCTTTAAAACTGTTTTTACAGAAGCTATATTTTAAGTAACTTTCTGACTTTCTATAAGCAAGAGAACACTAAATATTTCTATCACAACCACTTGCTCTTTTCTGAAGCAGAATTTCTACAAACCACAGCACTTTTCATCATAAAACAGCGTAGGGATTTAGGAGAGGCAGAGTTCGTTAAAGCAGAGAATATGTTTTATAATAAGAGATTTAAAACATCACTAATAATTGGTATTATAGAAAACTGCCTCTCCTACAAACGCTGTGCCAATATCAGGACAGGTGCAGTACACTCAGTGCCATCGAGATGTAGGAGTCAGAGAATAGTGGAGGGATAAAAAAAGGGAATCTTTGCTGTTAATCTGGTCATTTCATTACAATCGAATTGTAGTCTCAGGTTTTTAATTAAAATATAATAACTCACCCTATAGCCAGCAGAGGGAGCATTTAAAACAAAAACTCATTTGAAAAGGTCCAGCAGGTTTCTAAAAACACACTATAAAACCAAAAGCGTTATTGTGGGAACTGCACCAAAACATTTGTGGCAATGCAGCCCCTGACTTGTGAATTCACGCATGGGCAAGGCATAAAACTCAAGCTAATGGGAAATTACTCAGATTTCTTAGAAAAGAAAAAAAAAAAAAAAAAAAAAAAAAAAAAAGAAAACAAACCAAAACAACAAACCAAACCCAGCCACCTCAGAACCATTCCTCAGCACCTCAGCATGAATCACTTTCAGTCCTTGGCACGCTGAAAGGATTTTCTTCAGGTGCTGTAGCTGCTGTTAGTTCAGATTTTGCAAACCTCTTGGGGGGTGTGCGGTTACCCAGGGCTCGCCGTGCGGCGCCTGTGCACGTTTCTGGCCTGCGGCTCCGAAAGGGTGAGGGGGCACAGCGAGGGGAGAGGGCACGGCAGTGTGGCTGTGGAGGGCTGGCTTTTCGGGACTACCATCTCGGGTGCCTTCAGAGACATCTGGCTTTGTCAGCGAGGGATGCATGGAGGCACAACAGCATCTCCAAGGATCCAGGCAGGGCTGTGAGTGCCCCTGGAAATGGCTGCATTTTGACCCGTAAGGTCAATACCTGGAGAACTGGGGCTATATCTGCCCTTGTGCCACAGCATTTCTGCTCTTCTAATGGTGCATAAGGCAACTCATGGTCAGAAAAAGGCGATTTTTACAGTCCTTGCACACCCTGATCTTGATGCTGGGAGGAGGAGAGGGCCTTTCCAAGACCCCCTCTGCCAAAGCAGCCCTGATGCTCTGCTCGGGAGCCCATGGGAGTCTGTTACTTGGCATAGTCAGCAGTTGAGGTTTGGGTTATTTTAGTGATCAGGTGAATTACCTTTGCTGATTTTTCGCCATCTGGGCACATGCACACACTCCATGCTGCACGAGCTTCTGTCACATCATCTGCTCCAGCACTTCCATCCCTGCCACGCAAACATGCTGCGGGTTATGAAACACTGCAAAATAAGAGAGGTGCAGCAAAGCAGCAGCATACATTTAGTACGACTGTATCTACTTACAAGGGGTATTTTCCTCCCCAGAGAAATCCGGTGCTGAAAAGCATGCAAAGGCAGGAGTCAGAAATGCCATCTCACTGCCCTGCCACAGCCAGAGAAGCTGAGTGCGAGGGGTCACGGGCTGCACCCAGTGCTGGGCCTCCAAAAACTTCTGCGTTTCCTTTTGCATTCCTATTTTTCATCACCATTTCCTCTGCAAAAGTGGAACAGAGCTTACCAGACTATCAAAACATCATACCATTACATTTCAAATTCTGCTTTTGACCGTGTGTGTGGACAGTCAAGGGAGGGAAGATGCTATTTGTTATTTGACTGTCAACACAATGCCTTGGAGGCATAGCATAAGCCTGGTTTTGAGCACAAAGAGCCAGGTGCTTAGTTCAGGTTCTATATGACCTGCTCACATTTCAGGTGATTAATCAGAGATCACATTGTGGATTTGTTTTTAATATTAAACCCCAAGGTGGTTAGTGTACAGACAGGACATCTTGTATGTAAGGACTCTCTTTGGACACTGACACAGACTTCATTGGGTGTCGTCTAACTCCACAGCAGAATTATGAAAATCAAAGACAGGGCTACAAATGTGAAAATAGCCTATGGAATTGCACAGCTCACCATGAGCGATGGTGAAGCTGCTGAAACAGAAGCATTTAGCCTGAGCCAATGCATATTTTTAAGCACACACTAAGGAACTACTTATTATAAATTATATGTGTGTATATGTATATGTGTGCATATATATGTTGCAATAGTAGAAACCTAGAACTGATTCATTAAGGATTATAGGCTGGCTCTAGGTTTCTAATGGTCCTTTTAGTCAAACTAAAATGATGCTATGGGCATGAAGGTGGGCTCAGGCCTTTTATTTTGATGAGTGTCATCATCTTCATTTCTTGGGCTGGCGATCTCACCTGACTGAGTTTCCAAGGGAGTGTCTGAGTTTAAGGAAGCTCTTAAAAGGTCTGCTTACCTGTCACCTTGAGGCAGATGCATAAACTTACTTACATTGGCCACCCATCCCTTCTCTTTGGGCATTTATTTAAAAATGTAAATCCCAATTTTAACTTACTTTTCAGTGTCACTTTGAACTGCAACTTTATCCTGAGTTTATTCTTACCACGGCACCTCCCCTGTGCCTGCCCAGAACAGTATCTCCTGAGCTGTGAAAAGCCGTTTACTGTTTGCATATTAACCCAGCAGAACCAACACAGCTGGGTGCTCATCCTCCTCCAACTTCCTCAACAGACTTGTTTACTAACCTGTGATCAGTTAAGGGCAGCAGGGTTAACTCAGCACCTCTTTGTCTTTGCTGACAGGAGTCACCAAACTTTACTTGCAGGCAATCAAGCAGCTCAGCTTGACCCTATCTCAGTTTCCAGAGCTGGAGTTGGAACTAACTATCCTTCAACTTCCAAATCAATCAGGGCGGAGAAATCATTAAAAGCTAATATGTGCTGGGATCCATCATGAAGTTTTTCAGTCACTTATTCTCCAGATGAAAAACAAGTTGAAGCAGAAGGTGCTTTTCCTGTTAATACCTCATCCTTTCCCTAAGTAATGTCTCATCAGCCAGAGGATCTTTACTGTGTGGGAAGAAGGGCAGTTGAGAAGGGAGAGGAAAATTTAAAAAACAACAAAAGCAGCAAGGGTTGGGATCAGCTGGGCTAAACTTTCATGCCTCCACTAGCCCTGGGAGCAGCTCTGCCATGGGCAGGGCCAGCCCTCGGCGGGGCAGGGCGGCTGTTGGTTCCCAGGTAGGGCTGTGGGGAATTCCACTGCTTGTCCGCTTCTCCCTTCCCTCCTGAACAGTGCCTGGGCGCCAGCCAGAGCTTCAGGAACGGTGA